CGACTACAAGCACTGAAGTGAGCCAAAGGCTCTCCGCTATCATCGTCCCTTGATACGTCTCCATCGTATCTACTTTTCCAAACTCTTTTGCCCTTGTTTTATACTCTAATTTGCATGATTTGAATGGAACTAACCCGGACTAACGCTGTTTTCAGGAGAATTGCCATGATGTTATTTTTGTGCAGAAATAAAAGTTCTCGGAATGACTTGAAACTTCACGAAGAATATTCTGGAACAAATAAAAAATATTAGTGAAAGAATCAACAGAGGGGGACCCACCACCTATCCACAAGGGTGGGTGCGCGCCCTACCCCCTGGGTGCGCCCCCTGGCTAGTGGGTCCCATGAAGCTCCATCGACCTCAACTCCAACTCCATATATTCATGTTCTGGGAGAAAGAAATCAGAGAGAAGGATTCATCACATTTTACAATACGGAGCCGCTGCCACCTCCAGTTCTTCCTCGGGAAGGCAGATCTGGAGTCCTTTTGGGCTCCGGAGAGAGGAAATCGTCGCCATCATCATCATGAACCATCCTCCATCACCAAATTCATGATGCTCACCGTCGTGCGTGAGTAATCCCATCGTAGGCTTGCTGGACGGTGATGGGTTGGATGAGATTTAGCATGTAATCGAGTTAGTTTTGTTCGGATTTGATCCCTAGTATCCACTATGTTCTAAGATTGTTGTTGCTATGACTTTGCTATGCTTAATGCTTGTCACTAGGGCCCGAGTGCCATGATTTCAGATCTGAACCTATTATGTTTTCATGAATATATTTTTGTTCTTGATCCTATCTTGCAAGTTATAGTCACCTACTACGTGTTATGATCCGGCAATCCCGGAGTGACAATAGTCGGGACACTTCCCAGTGATGACCGTAGTTTGAGGAGTTCATGTATTAACTAAGTGCTAATGCTTTGGTCCGGTTCTTTATTAAAAGGAGGCCTTAATATCCCTTAGTTTCCAATAGGACCCCACTGCCATGGAAGGGTAGGACAAAAGATGTCATGCAAGTTCTTTATTAAAAGGAGGCCTTAATATCCGTCGAGAGGTTTTCGCCAGGGGGACCCGATCTCACCGCATCTGTTTCTGTTGTGCGGAGAGGGCCTCTCGTGTATGCTGCAAAACTATGATGGAGGTTGGATTGATAGGGGGATCAGAGTAAGCAATACTGCCTCGTGGATTTCCCATCTTTTATTTGCAGATGGCTGTTTAATTTTCATGAAAGCTGACTCCAGGAGTGCCATAAGGCTGAATGAGATTTTGCATCAGTGCAACATTGGCTCCGGACAAAATGCAAACAAGCTGAAAAGCTCCGTGTTTTTTAGCCCTAATAGTGGCTCGTCAGTTAAGATGGGAGTCAAGGCAACCTTACAAATACAAAGAGAAGCGATGTCGGAAAAATACCTTGGGCTCCCAACAGCTGCCAGAAGAATTATAGAGAAAAGTTTTGTACATATTAATGAAAGATCAAGGGCAAGGGTGCAAGGGTGGTGCGAAAGAAAAATGTCATGTGCAGCAAGAGAAGTTATTTTGAAGTCTGTGGTCCAAGCTCTACCGGCCTACTCTATGAGTTGTTTCAAACTCACAAAAGGTTTGTGCAAGAAATTGACAACAAATATGTCAAAATATTGGTGGGCTGGATCACTTGACAAAAAAAGGAATGCATTGACAATCTTGGATAAGATGTGCATGGAAAAGTCACAAGGAGGAATGGTATTCCGAGACTTGGAAACTTTCAATGATGCGATGCTAGCAGAACAAACATGGTGGTTACTTGAGAATCCTAATAGCTTGTGTGCACGTGTGCTTAAAGCACGGTACTTCCCTAACGAGGATTTTCTAACGGCGGGCTGCCCCGCTAGTGCCTCCAAGACATGGAAAGCAATTGTTAACAGGAGAGAGATGTTGAAGAGGGGACTCATCCGTCCGATTGGTAATGGAGATACCACCGAAGTGTGGCATGATCAATGGATAGATGGCACCATATCAATGAAACCGATGGGAGCTCTCAAGCCAAACTCAATACAATTAGTGTCAGACCTGATTGGCCCGATGTCAAATCAATGGGATACACAGCTCGTTCGGAGTATTTTCTACGCCCCGGATGCGGCAGCTATACTTGCTATGGCAAGACCGCGTACGGGAGGGGCGGATGTGTGGGCATGGGCAAGGGAAAAGTCCGGCCTCTTCACGGTCAGGTCGGCGTATAGACATGAGATGCAAGCTAAACTACAGCTGACTGAGACAGTTGGTTCATCTTCTGGTGAATCGGCCATGTGGAAGGCATTGTGGAAGATCAATGTGCTTCCAAATATTAGGGTGTTTTGGTGGTGCGTGCTAAAGAATTTCTTGCCATCCTATGGCGAGCTTCAGAGGAGGCATATTAAACAGCTACCGAACTGCTCGATGTCTGGACATGACAATGAGACGTTGTTTCACTCGTTGATGGAATGTGACCATGCAAGACGCTTTTGGGAGGCAGCAGAACGATTCTTCGGTATTGGCATACCACGATTACACCCACTGTCATGGTCTCGAGATCTACTAGATCAACGATTATACAAGAAGGAGGTGGCGGCTATTATGATCACCGTGATGTGGGCTGTGTGGCACTCCAGGAACAACTACACTCATGGCGAGTTAGTGTATCAGCCGGTTAAATCAATGGTGATTATTGAAGAGATTATCAGGGCACTTGAGATCCCTGAGAGGAAGAAGGCCCAAGCTACTGCCCTCCCGAGGTGGCTGCCACCAGAGGAGGGATGGATCAAGATCAATACCGATGGTGCTACGGACATGGGTCTACTACGTGGAGGAGCGGCCTTCATTGCTCGAGATCATTATGGAGCTCTCATTAGAGCTGGAGGATCACGATATGACGGGATCGCTGACCCGTTATCCATTGAGCTACTTGCATGTAGGGACGCGATCCTAATGGCACACGACATGGGCTTTCAGCAAGTGGTGTTGGAGACAGACTGTCAAGAAATCCAGTGGCTCTGGGAGGTACCTCAGAGGTCGACGTGTTTTCACCTCATTACGGAGATGAAGGAGATGTCTACTTTGTTTCACGGATTTAGGCTACGGTTTGCGTGTCGCCAGACTAATATGGCGGCACACCGTCTAGCTAGACACTCGTTAAAACTTTCTTTTTTTATGCACTTGTATGACACGATCCCTAGATGGCTGACTGATTGTTTGCAGTCAGACATGCTAACGCCTAATAAATAAAGAGCTGGAAGGCGTTTAGCTTAAAAAAAAAAGACCCAACTGCACAAAGTGTTGTTGTCTACCCACATGGACTAGCATTAGTTAGAATGAACTAACATTACGGGAAAGAATTGTGCAGGCTGGGAGGTTTAAGCTCGTAAGATTTTGGGATTTTAAAAAAAGATAGGCGCCTAAGATTTTGGGAAGGAGGGAGTACCGATTTGATTTACTTTGTTTCAAAATCAAGGAGTAGGTGTGTGGAGAGGAAAAAAGTACTTGAATACAATAGTCCCACTGTTCACTTTTATAAGACCTTCAAGACATTTCAGACAGCATGTAAAGCAGTCTATTTTCAGTTGTCTGAAACGACTTATAAAAGTGAACGGAGGGAGTAATCTTAAGGTGTGTTTGGTTCGGGAACGAAGTGTAATGGAATGTCACGGTTTCATTCCACTAAAATGGGTCGGTTCCGTCCTTGTGTTTGGTAGTGACAATTTGAAGGAATGAAATGGTTACATTTTGATGTTTAGTTTGAGAGATGAAATAGAATGAGTTTATTTATCCCATCATTTATTGGAGTGAATTTCGGTCATAAAAAGGCATTGTGCAGCAGTGTGAGCATCAACGATTCAAAAACACTCTGTCAAAAACAAACCGCAGCTGATCTGATTGTACTCGATTTCAGTCAAACAAAGGCCATCCAAATAACAAACTCTGCATTTGATCTCAGTGCTACAAGCAAAAAATGCAGCTTGCTCGTCCAGCCTTGCTCCTCCAGTCCACAAGATCGACATCAGCCACCCAAATACAAAAGTCTGGATCAACAAAGCCACCCAACCGCAGCCTTGCTGCTTCATTTCTTTTTCTATCATGTGGCTGACGGGGTGAATTGCATGTTGCTCCTCCAGTTCTTTTTCCCGCACCGGGGCCGTCCAGCCGCTCAAGCTCGAGCTCGGCTGGCCTTCCAGTCGCACCACGCCACACGCACACACGTGTCTCCTCACGTACACAGAGACGCACCTCACCCCGGACTCCTTTCGCCAGATCCTTGGTCGAGGGAGAGATATGAGGGGCAGGAGACGCCGGCGAGGCTACACTTCCGATGAGGGGCAGAAGTCAGCGACGTAGCAGGCGTGATGCAAGCCGCACCTTCGATGAGCTAGACCTCGGCTGCGCGTCCGCCTCGGCCGCGCACAAGGGGGTGCCGTCGAGGATGGGGTGCAGCGGAGGAAGCGAAGGCGTTACGGCAGCCGGCCGCCGCCACGACCATCGAGGGAGAGAAGAGGGCAGAGGTCGTGGGTGGCTGGGGCGCGGGCTACGGGGTGGGTGAGTCGAGGAGAAGAGACACGAGCGAGTCGTTCCGCGTGGTCCCAAGTTCAGCATAAACAAGGAATATGCCGTTCCCTGGAACCGGTGGGTTCCGATTCCTTCCGCAATCTAAACACCAGAACTGGCCCTTGGGACGGAACCGACCCGTACTGTTCCATTTCATGACAGAAACCAAACACACCCTTAGTCTGCAGTTCGGTGATGATCCAGGGAATCTGTACGTCGGAAGGTGGTTCGGCTGCAACTGCGGCTGCCTCCACTTCTTGGACGGCGTGGGTAGGTGGAGGCCACAGCTGTGCGACTAGAAGATCCAACCGTTGGTTTCAGATGGACGACGCGGATTGGACCTGACAGCAGGATCTGCCAGACAGAAACCGTTACCTATGCAACGAGGATCCGGATCCGGCGAGGACGAAGTACCCAGTTCTTCCAGAACTCTCCATCCGATGGAGTAGGCATGTGCTGCGTCTACTCCCCCGCCACCGTCTCCACGACCTCGTCGCAGCGAGGTCAGATCGTGTCGTCGGATCGCTCGCCCTCCTACGCCGCCGACGCCCCGCTGCGCTCCGATGAGGGATTCGACGGCAGCGCGGCCAATCCCTCCCGCGCGAGGCGCGGGCGCGGCGGCGGAGATGGCGAGCCCCCGCCGCTTTCCCCGGCCCCGAGCGTGAACGCTGACGGGAAATTCGACGGCAGGGCGGCCAAACGCCGTCGCGCGGAGTCCGGCGGCGGTGTCGGCGTTGACGACGCGGCGGCTCAGGACCACGGGGACCGCATCGGCGAACTCCCGGACGCGATCCTGCTGTGCATCCTCTCCTACCTCCCGCTCCGCGACGCCGCCCGTTCGACGGCGCTCTCTTCGCGGTGGCGGCGCCTGTTTGATCAGTACCTCCTGGACTTCAACGCGTGCCAGCCGTTCCCGCCGGAGGCGGGCCGCGGCTGCGACTGGTTCATCCGCGCCGTCGACTCCATCCTCGCCTCGCGCCGCCACATCCCCATCCGCAGCTTCCGCTTCGTGATGTACGGGCAGGGATTCGTCAATCGCATGGGCGTCGTTAGCGGCTGGTTCCCCGTCCTCGCGACCTGCGGTGTCCGAGAAGTCGACGTCGACATGTTGTACACAGTCTATAGGCCGACCCTCCCCGCGTCGCTCCTCCAGCTCGCCTCCCTCGAAACCCTAAGAGTGTGCTTCTGCGATCTTCCGAAGGAAGCGGAGGTGGACGCGCTGCGGCTCCCCGCCCTCAAGACGCTCCGCCTGTCCAATGTCCGAACCTCCCAGGACGCCCTGCAGGCGATGCTTGCTCATTGCCCGTCCCTGGAGTGCGCAAAGCTCAAGAACATCACCGGGGTCAAGCAAATCCGCCTCCGGTCCAAGAGCCTGGTGCGGCTGTACGGCGACTTGGGCGACTTGAGTGAGCTCGTTGTCGAGGACGCCCCGAGCCTTGAAGAACTGGTGGGCATCCATTTGCCGAGCGGCAGAGCAACGGTGAAAATTGTTTCCGCCCCCAAGCTGCAGGTGCTGGGATACTTGGGGAAGAACGTCGGGCCTCTCGTGCTGCGTGATACCGTTTTCGATGTAAATGCTTTGCCTTTTTCTACTGTTTGTTGCAGCTAAAACTCGGATGATATTTGCTTTGAAAGCAAGTATCTTTGCTTCCTATGACATGTTTTGCATATTGCAGGGAGGCATCTTGCAGTCCACTACCCTGATGTGCAGCGTGAAGACCTTGGCCATCCAAGTGCCCTTCTCAGAGAAGGGACGTACCACCTTCGTTGCTCAGTTGCTCAAATGCTTCCCATGCCTTGAGGAGCTCCATGTCGAGGTAACCATTGCAGCTCAGCTCTCCTTAACCCCCAATCTACTTAGCTCTACCATCATACCATGCATTATTTGTTAATCATGGTCGACGTTTGCAGGCAGACAGTCGATCAATTTCACAGCGGGTTACTCCTGAATCATGGGACACGACAACTTCTATCCCGTGCATCGAGCATTCGCTCAACAAATTGGTGTTCGAGGATTTTGGAGGAGAAATGTGCCAGTGGGGCTTTCTGACTTTTATGCTTGAGATGGCTAAAACTCTTGAGGTCGTCGAGCTCTACTGTTTGAAAGGCGAAGACTGTGCCAGTAGACTAATAAACATTCTAAGCAGCATAAATAGAGTCTGCCAGGACATGGAGTTCCTCTTCTTCACAAGTTGTGAGCCAGTCAATGGTCTCTACTTGTGCCATTGCTGTCCCCGGCGGTGCCAGAATGAAAACAGAGTTTCGCTGATGGATACTCTGAAGCACCAGAAAAAATAGAAGGTGATTGCAATCTGAAAATCCATGTTGTCGTCGGATGCGCGTAAGTTGTGATCTTGTGTCAGAATCCGAGAACTGTTCATTTTAGTTTACTGGAATAGAAAAAGAATCTGCAGGCTGGATTGGCTGTACCGTAGCAGGCTGGTTGGCTGGAACTATTTTTGTTAGCTGGACTTCTTGTTGGATGTGTATCGCTGGTACTGTTTATAATATAATCATAGCATAATGGTTTAGCATTTTGGTATCTTTGCACCGTAGTTCAAGTTCATCTCCGACATTTGAATTTTCGAGGCCATGGCGTTCGAAATTAGAATTGCACGGAAAGTGCACCATGGAGAAAACGAGTGAATGCTATGCCTTTTGTCCCTCAACTTGTCGTGTTGCACAAATTTGATCCCAGACTTTGATTATGTAGTATACTACTCCCTCCGTTCTAAATTACTTGTCGCAGGTATGGATGTATCTAGATATATTTTAGTTTTAGATACATCCATTTCTGTGACGAGTAATTTGGAACGGAGGGAGTAGATGATCACGCGCGCTCTGCCGCACGAGGGACATGTACGTTCGATACCCTCTAGTCTATGCGTAGCTTTTCGATCGAATCAGGGCGTATAATACGGAGTTTAATTTCAGATTGATTATTCGCGTGTGATATGTGGTTACAGTTATTCTATCTATGTTGTGCCCGTGGTGTTATTGCCTGAACATGCGCTCCTATACATGTCAGCAGGATAATTTCTTCTTTGCTAGCGTGTTGGGCCAGCGCGTGGTAGCTATGAATGGATTGCTTGCCTTGGTGCTCATCATCGATCCCTGGGGAGATTCTAGCTTCCATGGATTACGGCTGTTGTGTTGTTATGTTACCATTCTCCACTTTCACCTGTAGCTGTTGATCACACGCTCAGAAATATGTTTCTGTCTTATCTCGTTTGACAGATAATGGATATTCTACACTAAAAAGACAATGGGATAATCAAACACGAAAGACTTTTTAAAAAATGAATCAATATATTACTGGCCATAACGCTTTGATCAGCCTATGGAACAAAAAATTTGAAATGAACTCGTTTTCGGGCAGGGCTATGTAAACTTAGCAAGCACACATAATTATATATGACCTGAGTCTCCATTTGATCATGTGACTTGTATGTCATCACTCTAGACCATGAATAAAAGTATTTGCAGACAAAGATTGTTGAAAATTATTACATTTTACCTGGAGTGGCAATAGATAACCAGGAGCTCGATGGCTACCAAGGTTACATAAATCAAAATAATAGTACACGGAGGCAATTTCTTGTCAAAATCCCTTTGAGTAAAAGAATTGCTACTTCTATGATATATTATTGATTATAAAAATGCAGAGGCATTTAATCTGTTATGCTCCTATACATGAGGGTAACGGAGAAAAGTCAGTACTCACTCTTGAAACCAATATATTCAGGTTCGATCTTCTCACGGGATGAGGACTCCAGGGAAACACATCCATGTAGTAATATGGTAAAGATATATCATCACAGTATTGATCCAGAGAGTCCACCTGCACCAAGCTGCCTGCACGTATATTAGGCGGGGTCTGTTCCTCATATGACTGATAGTTTTGACGCAAATCATGCAGTGACGGTTCACCAGCCACATCAAGAGAACCCAGACTCTGCTTTAGGGCATTCCCCACACTCCCCTGCAGATAATCTCCATGTATAATTAGGCAACTGATATTGCCATTGTTCATGCTTTCAGTTGCCTCACCAATGTTCAGCTCAGTGTAAGAAATATCAGGTATGGCTACATTATGGGCATAAGAGAACATGTTCGTTGGTATGAATTGATTACCATATTGGCTAGTAACCATATTATCAAATATTGCTCTTGTATATCCTCGCGTTTAACTTCACTCAAATCAGATCGGTCTAGGAACTGATTACACAGTGCATCTGCAGTAGAGATCAAATGAACGATGGCTTCTTTATACTTAGATGATGCAAGTAATATATAATGCCAAAGGGAAATTTGACATACAATTATTTTTTGGTTGCCCCAGCCCTCTATGTGGCTCTCTGCTTTGGCATGTTTTTGGCCAAAGTACATTTGCTCACCAACGTATGAACACTTTCATCTAAAAAAATGTATGAACCCTTCACAGAACTTCGCATGGACATTCATTTGTTTACTCAACAATATTTATGTGGACTATGGTTCAATGTGTCCCTTGGTAAAGGTTGGTTATCATGATTTTCGTTCCTAGTGTTGCCAAATAAATTAGCAAAGAAATAGTAATAGAGGATAAATATTTAGTGTCATCTTCGAGATTCTTATCATTGCCAAGCAAACTATCTGCTATAGTGAGGGTCTATATGTGAGTAGTTTGACCATAACCCTTCCTCCAAATTTTGTGTCCACTGATAGAGCAACTGCTTAACAATGATTATGTCCAGAAGTAGTTCTTGTAAAAATATATGCTGAAATGAGAAGCTCGGTCTACCTACATGGCTTTCAAATGAATTTTCAAAACGTATAGCATCCACCTGCAGCTCTAATGCAACCTTAATTGGCCAACATTTGACACCCATGAGGCCAGGATCCACCTCTTTGTGTGTAAAATCACGTTGTTTACAAAGGAAACATCCATGAATAAGCAACCACCTGGAGCCTTCCACTGGATTTGTCAAAATTAATAGGCCAAACTAAGTAAAGAAGACAAATACAAATACTATATGAACCACAAAATCACCTCTGACCAACGCCAACATTAGCACATATCACCATTCCCAAAACCTATGTTGGGCAGCGGCAACAAGGTCGTCCCAATAGAGTGGCATCACCATCGATGGCCATTACCTCCCTTCCAGCCAGCAGCCACGTCTCTCCGCATTGTCATCCTCCGCAGCATCCCTTACAGACGCGGCCCCTGGGTCTCCACCACGTGAGACGGGCCACCGCATGATCTCTTCCCCCATCGCGCGAGATGCCGCCTCCAATCTCACCAGCTGTCGCTGCTCAGATAGAGGAAGGGAGAGGGAATTGTGATGCATCGAGGAGGGGCGGTAGCGACGACTTGGATGGGCACATGCGTGAGGTGGGGGTGAAGAGAGGAACGTCGAGGAGGAGGGGAGGCGGCCACGACAAGATGAGTTGGGGCGAGACTGGACATAAACAGACCCATCGAGCATGGCCTACTGATATGTCTCCAATGTATCTACTTTTCCAAACACTTTTTCCCTTATTTTGGACTCTAACTTGCATGATTTGAATGGAACTAACCCGGAGTGACGTTGTTTTCAGCAGAACTGCCATGGTGTTATTTTTGTGCAAAAATAAAAGTTCTCGGAATGACCTGAAAATCCACGGAGACACGTTTTGGAATTAATGAAAAATATTGTGAAAGAATCAGCATTAGGGGCCCCACACACCCTGTCCACGAGGGTGCAGGGCGCACCACCCCTAGGGCGCGCCCCCCTGCCTCGTGGGCCCCCTGGGACTCCACCGACCTCAAACCCAACTCCATATATTCACTTTCGGGGAGAAAAAAAATCAGAGGGAAGCATTCATCGCATTTTACGATACGGAGCCGCCACCAAGCCCTAATATTCCTCGGAAGGGCTGATCTGGAGTCCGTTCGGGGCTCCGGAGAGGGGAATCCGTCGCCATCGTCATCATCAACCATCCTCCATCACCAATTTCATGATGCTCACCATCGTGCGTGAGTAATCTCATCGTAGGCTTGCTGGACGGTGATGGGTTGGATGAGATTTACCATGTAATCGAGTTAGTTTTGTTAGGGTTTGATCCCTAGTATCCATTATGTTCTAAGATTGATGTTGCTATGACTTTTCTATGCTTAATGCTTGTCACTAGGGCCCGAGTGCCATGATTTGAGATCTGAACCAATTATGTTTTCATGAATATATGTGAGCTCTTGATCCTATCTTGCAAGTCAATAGTCACCTACTATGTGTTATTATCTGGCAACCCCGAAGTGACAATAATCGGGACCACTCCCGGTGATGACCGTAGTTTGAGGAGTTCATGTATTCACTAAGTGTTAATGCTTTGGTCCGATAATCTATTAAAAGTTGGCCTTAACATCCCTTAGTTTCCAATAGGACCCCGCTGCCACGGGAGGGTAGGACAAAAGATGTCATGCAAGTTCTTTTCCATAAGCAGGTATGACTATATTCGGAATACATGCCTACATTACATTGATGAACTGGAGTTAGTTCTGTGTCAGCCTATGTTATAACTGTTGCATGAGGAATCGCATCCGACATAATTATCCACATTGATCCATTGCCTACGAGCTTTTCACATATTGATCTTTGCTTAGTACTTTTCCGTTGCCACTGTTACAATTGCTACAAAAACTACTACTATTACTTTTGCTACAGTTACCGTTACTTCCATACTACTTTGCTACTAAATATTTTGCTGCAGATATTAAGTCTTTTAGGTGTGGTTGAATCGACAACTCAACTGCTAATACTTGAGAATATTCTTTGGCTCCCCTTGTGTCAAATCAATAAATTTGGGTTAAATACTCTACCCTCGAAAATTGTTGCGATCCCCTATACTTGTGGGTTATCAAGACTATTTTCTAGCGTCGTTGTCGGGGAGCATAGTTCTATTCTTTGAGTCACTTGGGATTTATATCTGTTGATCACTATGAGGAACTTGAAAGATGAAACAACCAAGATTTTTTCCTCAACTACAAGGGGAGGTAAGGAACTGCCATCTAGCTCTACACTTGATTCACCTTCTATTAAGAGTAAATTTGCGACACCTACACATGTTAATGATTCTGATATGTCGCATGTTATTGATGATGCCACTTCTGCTATGCATGATGCTTATGATGAAACTACTTCTATGCTTGATAATACTGTGCCATTAGGTGAATTTCTTGATTAACAACTTGCTAGGGTTAGAGAGAATGAAATTATTGAAACAGATAATATTGATGAAAGTGATGATGAAGATTCTCCCCCTAGATATGAATTTCC